AGCATCACACCTCTTGTCATCAGGATCAGCTGCCTCCAAATCTACAATGATCATCCTACGAGTGAGAATCAACTGTACTTACGCCTGTTGTCTGCTCTGGGCGTTTAGCCCGGCAATGTAGAGGAAAAACTGAGCTAAACAAATGGTACCTTTCAATATCCAAAACACTACAAAAACACCGCATGCTTGAGTCGAAAAGCTCTTATCTCCATAACCCAGGGTTGTGATGGTAGAATAAACACAATAAAATGCATCCACAAGGCTCAATTTCTCAACAGTATCTAGGAAGATTGTGCTACCAATATGAGTAGCAAAAGAAGGATAAAGACCACTATATTTGTACCTTAGCAATCATGCATACATATCACGAACTTACAAAACCACTATCAAAATACTCAACAACATGGTGCCCTCAATTTGAGGTTGTTGCGCAAGCAATATATTTGATGTTGACAACGTTCCTGACTGATGAACATCAAGATCTTCAAACTCCAAATGCTCCAGCATTTTCGCCCTCTGGAGCATCACCTCTCTCGTTACTTCTAGTGTACATCGGCCTATGTCTTGGCACCACCATACATGGTATCTTCCTCCTATCCACCACTTCTAAATCCCGCTTTAAAACTTCCAATTGCTTGCTTCCTTCAACAAAATTGGTCTCAGTTGGAATGTACACAAAATTTACCGACCCAACATCAAACGAATAGTAAAGATTTCGTATAGCTGGGGCACTTGTTCCAATCGGTTTAGATGTTTGTTGGAAATTATATATTGTAATATATAATTTTAATAATTGAATGAAAAATATTGTTAACCAATTTCTTGGAAAGGTTATGTTGTTTAGGTGTATTCCTTGATAAGTGATGTATACTTATAGATGAAAAGTTACATCTCTTTAATAAGTAGAAATTGGATTCTATTTAAACCCATGAAACCATTGGTATTAAACATAGAAAAATTAGAGTTAATTTTTACTCTTGAGAAATAGGGTTTCCCCACTTTGTTTCTCTCATGCTTCGTGAGTCAAATTCCGAGTCGTGTCTTGAGAGTATGGAATATATAAAGTTCGCTTGAGTCCGAAGATTGAAGTGCTTTGACTTTGGATTATAGATTGTTGAATCCTGGGAGATAGACGCCTACCGAACTACAAGCACAAGAGTAGGGGCGAAATTCTGTCTTTAGGACATTGCATTTATGCAAGCCTCAATCTCCAAGTTTGTCAGTTTTTCTAACTTTCTCTTTAGTTGTTTATATTAATCTCATATATAATTGATGTTGTGAATTTTTTATGATTATTATCATTGGATTTATATTGTTATTTTTCATATTTTCTAATATTGCTCCAATAATCTAAAGACAGAAATTTATCTCTATGCAATAATTAGAAAATATGATGATGTGTTTGTAAGATGTTTATGCAGTATAGGAGAAAAGAAGAGGGAAAACGTAAGCATTAGTGTTTACTTGATTCGTGCCTTTTGCATTGTATGATGTTTAAAAATTGACAGTTATTATGGCAAGAAGTAAGTGCCTCCTGTCAAAGAATGACTAAGAGACACAGATGAACATGATAAAAGTGAACATAAATATGTGCCATATGGTATAGTAGTTTATAGTGCAGACTACTAGTACTAGTCCGTGGGATTAGTTCCTTTATAAGGAAGGAAATTCATTTGAATTTGATGCATTTAATTGATATGTTGCCAACGATTTGATGCATCTAAATGACTGTATTTAATTTGTATGATTGTTTGATTTTGATGACTTGTAGTCCAACCGCTAACCATTGCGGCTATTAAAATATGTTTTCTTAACCACGTTGTTATGAAGTGATTTCTATAACAGAATCCAATTGATATGCAGTATTTCATTAGTTTATGAGTATGATTATATCCCATTTATTTAAAAATGGAAGATGAAGTGGCCTTATGATCAGGAAAGGCATGTCTTGATTGGGAGATGCAAAACACTGCATATATTTTGACGAAGCCATATATGGGCTTGATATTCCAGGCTAATGTTTGGCTGGTGTTTAATTTTTACTGGAAAAGGAAATGAAATGGGATTCGGTGCCCTTAACCAACACAATCTATTCTGATTGGTGAGTTTTGGTGGTTGATCGAAACCACACGTGGCTCTTTATTTGAAAGAATATCTGTTGCGAAGCAGTATTGTCAAGTTTAGAAAGCAAAATTTTTGAACCAATCAAATGGATTGATGATTGATCTACATATGCAACATGTTTGGCTGCAGTGAGATGCAGTTTTCATCTATTTCTATTGTGATCAATATAATGATCCGTATATATCTTTGAGTTTGTTATTATATGTGATTTAATATCAACATGAAACTAATGGGATAGTTGGTGGGACACCAGATACGGCTATTGGAACTCTTTATTTGGAAATATATGTCCCTTAGAAGGCATGCAAACATGGCTTGTGAAATCAGTTTAATATACTGTTTTAGACTTTGAAATTATCTCAGCCACGTAAGTGTTGTTGGGATTCCTGCACCGATTTCTGGAAATTTCAGTTTTCCAGAAAAGTTTATTCGTCATAAGCAGACACATAAAATTTTGGATTTAGTTTGTAAGGAACAGTCGTGTATCTTCCAAAGTGCACGTGCAGATGCATGGACTCTTTGATACTCACATAACTGAAAGTATCAAGGAGCGGTGGTTTTGTAATGATTTAACGAATAGACATGATCACTTTGTATGTATCATTTAGTGCTATTTCCATAGTGTAACCATTCCATCACAAATGTGGTGCCGCTCGGAAGAGAGTGGTGTGATCAGGCCACTACATGGCAGCTATTCCAGAAAGTGCAAAGAATTGCAACTCTGTTTGGAGGGAAACTAGTATGCAAAAATCAAGGACTGCATAAATCCCGAGTAAATTGCTTTCTGAGATGGTGCAAGTAATTGCACAACATTGCAGTAACGCACATTCATATTCAACTGACGAAAATATAGTTATCTATATTTTCTGATAAAAAGTATGCAACGCCCGTAGACTGAAAAGTCCTGGTCTATGTTAGTAATCGGAAAGTCAATGAATTTGATTTGAGTTGTATAACAGAAAAAGTGGTGGTTCTTTGTCAAATCATAGAGTTTGACTTGAAACGCTGACGATTGAATCATGGGCGTCAAGACTTATTTCGTAAGGATAAAGCATCCTATAGTAAGGCACTAGCCATAAGAACTTTAAAGATTCTACATAAGGGCTAGTGAGAGAACCCAATGTGAGTAAATTGTAGGGGAATGACATAGTTATATTTGGATAATATGTCAACTTAAGAAGAATGACAAAGTAATTTGCTTATAGAAAGAGATAAAGATGATCTCTTACAATGGCATTTTAAGGCATTGAAAGGTTAGAGACCTACTGGAAAGTACCTTAAATGTGGGGGAGTTTACCCAAGTGTTAGTAAATTACTTAGTAATTAAGTCCTAATATAATTTTGAGGACTTGACATTTCAAACAATGTCAAACAACTACTCTCGTATGAAATATAATTTCATAAGATGGATTGTGCACACCATTAAAGATAGTCAACCTAGTAGTGGATCCAATTATTAAAGGTTTGATTAGAGAGTAAGTTGATCATCGAGGGGAATGAGGCTAAAGCCAACACAACTAATGAATCAGCCGAGCGGAAACCTAACTTAGTTGATTGGAGATCCCATGGTCTAAGTTCAATAGGCAAACTAGTTGGGCATGATTCAAAGAAGTTAACACACTATATACCTCATTCTTATGGTGGAAGAAGTGTGTTGTCTGGAGAAGTTTTAGGATGTATATTTATACTTAATGACAGTGATATCTTATAAATAAGAGGAATAGAGCGGACTATTCTTAATCAGTGGTCACCTATGTGAGAGTAGAAGTGGGTCACTTCTATGAGTATGAGATGGCTAAATTCTCTAAAGTTCTCATGAATCCGGGATTTGTTCAGGACCAAAATGAACACAACCGTATGAACCATAATATATTAGGATTAGTGATGTGTGTTGCTTATTGTCTCGGTTTACTACTACGGTGAACAGTTCAAGATTCTATATTCACTGCGTCACCAAGTAAATCCGATAAGTATTCACTAGGGTAGGTTCAAGTCCAAAAGACACCTCTCCCGATGCATCTCTTGTCCGTCTGTACTCTCAAATTCTTCCTAATTTTTCATTCATGTGGGGGATTGTTGGAAATTATATATTGTAATATATAATTTTAATAATTGAATGAAAAATATTGTTAACCAATTTCTTGGAAAGGTTATGTTGTTTAGGTGTATTCCTTGATAAGTGATGTGTACTTGTAGATGAAAAGTTACATCTCTTTAATAAGTAGAAATTGGATTCTATTTAAACCCATGAAACCATTGGTATTAAACATAGAAAAATTAGAGTTAATTTTTACTCTTGAGAAATAGGGTTTCCCCACTTTGTTTCTCTCATGCTTCGTGAGTCAAATTCCGAGTCGTGTCTTGAGAGTATGGAATATATAAAGTTCGCTTGAGTCCGAAGATTGAAGTGCTTTGACTTTGGATTATAGATTGTTGAATCCTGGGAGATAGACGCCTACCGAACTACAAGCACAAGAGTAAGGGCGAAATTTTGTCTTTAGGACATTGCATTTATGCAAGCCTCAATCTCCAAGTTTGTCAGTTTTTCTAACTTTCTCTTTAGTTGTTTATATTAATCTCATATATAATTGATGTTGTGAATTTTTTTATGATTATTATCATTGGATTTATATTGTTATTTTTCATATTTTCTAATATTGCTCCAATAGAGTTTCCAAGCATGTTGAGCTTAAGACTGTAAGGCAGCCACCACGGTTTCCATGCATGACTGTAATGGCCAATCATACCTGTGATTGCCAATACAAAGTTACAAACATATGGTATGAAATCTTGAATATATGCATAACATGACATTAAGAATTTATGAGTACTTTACATCAAATTTTGGTTATAATTATCATAAAATTAAAATGGTGGCTGTAATTCTATATGAGGTCCAAAATTTGGTTATTTTTCCAAATTTCCCATGGTTAATTGTAGGGGTAGCTGCTAGGCAACCCAATAAATAGAAACTAAAAACATAACTTTGAAGTCACTTTGTACTATGGTATAGTGATTCTTCTTTCCTTGTAAGTGAGAGATCTTTGGTTCAACCCTCGTCGTATGCTAACTTGAACCACATTATTGCTAATCTGTTATAAGGCTTGTCCCACTCTCTTAACCCCTTAGTATAGATAATATCGTTTATTTTAAAAAAGAAAACATAACTTTGAAAAATGAGAAGCGACCACAAGCCAAGCTAAACGCAGTGACCATGTTTATAGTAGTGCGTCATGCCTCTTGAACTAAAGTTCATGGACACGTAATTATTAGTACTTAAAGCAATCTCATTTATTCATTTACATTTTGTACTATGGTGCATGCAACGCAGGCTACCTAGTATGCCTGAATTAATCATGTCCGTCCATGTCTTTATGAATGCTTCTCAGCAATACTTTGGAGGTGGCAGAACAGCTCCACTGGTTTAGAGAACATGACCATGTGATCAGAACCGTTTATCACTTTCACTTCATTTGGGGGATTCTTCTTGATCATGTAATTTTGCTCATCCAACGCAATCGCAAGGTCTTGGTTGGCCACGATGAATACTCTACGAACTGATCCATACCTCTCTTTCGTGAGTTTTATTACATCATAATTATATAAAGGAAAAAATCTTACCAACGATAACGCTAGATTTAAATCCTGTCCATGACAAACATAAAACAAAAAAAAGTTAGCTAACCAATACTCGAAAGCCCGAACTTATTTTTTGAAACAATTAGCGCTCTACTCTTACAATACACCTTATGTTTCCAATGTGTTATAAGAGAACACGATAGGGTTCCTATATATTTCAATAGACACACTTCAAGACTTACCTGTGGTGGGGAGAGCTGGTACAAGATTGTCGCCATGTCCTTAGGCCCAAGGAGAAGGGAGGTTGCAGGGTTGTTGGTCCCGTTGTCATATCTGAATTGAGTGTCCATAAATTGCCTTCCTTTGGTAACCTATACATTTTTTAAGAAAATTATTTTTTAGTTAATTATCCTTAAGTAGGATTCAGAAAACAATGAACAAGAGATCATGTTAAATTGTTACTTGTAACAAATATTTTAAATATGCCATATTCATTCATCAAAATAAGGTTAGTACGACATATGACCAATAAATTGGGTATACAGTAAAACCTCTATAAATGAAAATGTTGGGATCAAGAAAAATTATTACTTTAGAGAAGTATTATTATATCGATAAGTAAATAATTTATAATGTATTGATATATGAATATTTATTAATGTATGAAGAATTTTTTTATTTTGTTCATTTTTTATTTTTTTTATTTTTGATTTTTGATTTTTTTTGATAAAGAGACATGTTGGGACCAAAAGAATTTATTATTATTTTTTTTAACAAGTGGTATTATCTATATTAAAGGGAAGAGGGTGTATTTAGCCTCATAATGGGCTAGCAATAATTTGGTTCAAATCCGCCTTTGGCGAGAATCGAACCTAAAACCTCTCACTTACAAGTGAAAAGGAATACCGTTAGACCGTAGTACTAAGTAACTTATTATTTTAAAGAAGTCATTATTGTATCGATAAATAAATAATTTATTTATTTGTCGATATATGAATATTTTTTAATTTGTAAAGTATCTTACAAAAAACAAAGATGCATGTATATTTTAGGGTTTTAAAACTTTTAAGGTGATTTAGGAACAAGACGATCAACTGTTTTAAAAAATTAATTTCCTAGAAGATAAAGTACTTCAATGTTTTATATGCAACATAATCTCTTTATATATAAGTAATCTCTTAGACTCCTAATCATTACAATTATCGTAACTTATCCATCTATGACATCTCATTTGAAAGGAATAAAAGGGAGCATTGTGCGAGTATAAAAATGAGCATATCTCTTCTAGTTAAAAGATTTGCAAACAATGGGTTCAACAAAAATATTAGTTGATCTCTACCAACCAATCAACACTATCAAACACTATTAAAAGGTCAACATGATATTTATCGGATGAGATGAAAAATAACAATGTTAAGAGGCACAAACCAGCAAAATATTCCGAGTTAAAAAAGTATTGTATGAGTGGTTTCTCCAATATCAAGATAAAGTGAATATGACTAGAGAAATGATAGCAGAACTTTTAGACTTTTAGTATATACTAGCCTTCATGCGCATGCAGAAAACATTTTTTGAATCATGGCGTGTTAGTTGTGACTTACACTTTTTAAATGTATATATATGCGTAAATTGACAAAAGGAAAGTCAAATATTTGAAGTAAATAAATAATTTTAGATCATACTAGAAGAAACACCTCATAAACCAATTAAAGCAATTGAATTCACATATTAAAATCGGTCTCTATAGAATTTACATTAAGAATAGAGAAATAATATTTAATAAACAATTGATTGAATCATATTATTGCTAGCCTATTGTGAGCCTAAGCCCACATCCCTCCACCTTAATATAGATAATATCGTTTATTTAAAAAAAAAAACAATCATTTGACAATTAATTTAATCACATTATTATCCGTGTGCGAAAGACTTTTTTTATAACCAGCATTCTCTTAAGATGTTTTGAACGTGTTTAAAATAGAGAAAATAATATTTAATAAATAACTGATTGAATCACATTATTACTAGCTCATTGTGAGGCTAAGCCCACCCCCTCCCCCTTAGTGTAGATAATATCGTTTGTTAAAAAAAAAACAAACAATCATTCGACAACTTATTTAATCACATTGTTATCTGTGTGCAAAAAACCTTTTTTTATAACCAAAATTACATGTCTCTTAAGATGTTTGAACGTGTTTAAAAATAGAGAAATTGAATCACATTATTGCTAACATATTGTGAGGTACTAATTAAAAATAAATTAAAAAAAAGCACCAAAAAGTAAATTATTAAAAAAATACTATTAAAATGATGAAAATGCCCCTACCTTATTTGATGCATTATTTTGGGATGCCTTTGAAATTTTTTTGTTTTGGGGGCATTTTTGTCCAAATATTTTGTTGAAGCATGGTGACACCAAATCACTATTCACCTTTTCCATTCTCTTTATATATAACTAGTAGAGAGCACACACTTTGTGTGTGTGAATAATTTCTCTTAATAAGTGCATATTTTTTCTTAATATTACATAATTACTGTTTTGTCATAGGAAAAATAGGTATATGATTGTCATTTTAAAAAAAAATGAGGGTAAAATTGGAAAAATAGGGATATGATTGTCATTTTGTCAAAGGGTACAAATTAAAGCCTTTTCAACCGCCCACCTCCTCCCACGTTCTCCTTAAGCGCAACTGCTTCAGTTCATTCAAACTATCAAAAAAATATCATGATTTCACTTACGTGTATGAAAAAAATGATGGTGGGACAATTTCTCTTAATAAGTGTATATTTTTTTATCTTATGTAAATATTTTGATACAAAATTACTATTTTGCCCTCCTTATGTAAATGTTGTGTATCAAAAATGAGGGCAAAATAGGAAAAAAAAGTGGAAAAACTTCAAAAGATACAAAATTACTATTTTACCCTCCTTATATCAACATTGTGCATCAAAAGTGAGGGCATAATAGGAAAAAAAGGGGCAAAAGTTGACAAGGCCTCTTCTCTTAATAGAATAGATAGATGAATTTCATTACCTCTGCATATGCAGTTGAGAAATTGAGAGTAGGACCATACATGACAGCTGTGGCAAATATCGCAGCAGCAACTTTCTCAGGAAATCTCTCCATGAAAATGGATATTACGGCTCCACCCAAGCTGTGACCCACGAGGATAACCTTTTCATTTGGTGGTAGAGACACCATGACCTTTGTCAATGGCTCGACGAATTCCGATAACGAAGGGAGTTGTTGTATCTGAATCGGGTTGATCCCGGATGCTCCCAAGTCTAGAGCTGTTACATTGTGACCAGAGTTCCTCAGAAGAGTCGCCACCTTATACCAACTCCATGCCCCATGACAGGCTCCATGTATCAACACAAAATGTTTTGGACTTTGAGTTTTGTTGTGAATGTTGGAGGGCGGGGATGGGGTTAAGGTACTCGCTTTTGCCAAGCAAATAAATGAAAGGAAAAATAAAAGGAGCTTCTCTGTCATGTTCTTCAATTCCAATTTCTGTATCATTAACTCACAATTTCCTTGATTTGGTTTGCTTCTATCGTCTTACTTTTATATATAGAAATCCGTCCGAGAACTAATAATCGACTCAGGGGTGATGTTATGGAGAGCAAATAAGTAGACTAAATTTTGTAAATTAAATGACATGGAAATTGATGATTGGATTATTACTTAAGTGTTGATTAATGTATTTATTTCTTATTGGTGACACATCATTTAGTTTGCAAATTTAATCTCTCTAGCATACTCATCGACTCAGAAGTCAAAAGTCTTGATTGAATTAGGGATGTGATATCCACACACCTCATTTTACTTCCCACACACTTTTTTATTTTTCAACCGTCAGATCGGATGAATTGAAAAAGATCAACGGATAGAAATTATCAAGGGTGTGAGAAGTAAAATATTGTGTGTGGATAGCGCACCCCTTGAATTATTACTAAGCATTGATTAACGTGTTTATTTCCTATTGATAACACATTATTTAATCTTTAAATTTAGTTTGAAAATATATTAGTATACAAACGTCACTGCTGACGCTCCATTATATAAATGGCGTTTATCTTGATCAAGCTAACTAAACTAGACGAAATCTAAGTATATATACATTTTGTGAAAGATTAAAAATCTAATAAAACAAAAGAATAAAATGTTTGAAAAGAATACTGCTAGAAACTTAGAGTTGGGGAATATTGTTAGATTTCTAATGCTACCAATATCCACTAAATTTGAAATATTTCCGTTACACTATGTTTGGAGGAGAAAATAAATTGAGAATTTACACAAAAATCAGAATTTTTATATTGGCATGAACTAATTTTCTTGTTTGGATTTGTAAACATAGAAATTTAGAATTTTGGTGTGGCTAAAAAACTTGGAAATTTGGGCCTCCAATTTTCAAAACTAAATTCAATGAAAATATAATGGGAAATTTTATTTGAACCCATATTTTGTATCACAACACCCATCTTACTTTTTATATCCACATTGTATTTGATTTATTTATCATTATCTCTTTACACCCAACATTATTTCCGAAACCACCTTTATTTATCAAAACTAAACTCAATCAAACTTCTTTTTACACCCAACTCAATCTACTTAAAAATAAAAAATAAAACCCTAACTAGTCTATCATCTTCATGGAGCAAATCCCCTTCTCTCTTTCTCTCTCTTTAAAAAAATCCTTCCATCTCCCATGGTTGTCATTCTGCACCCCCATCTACTCCTCCGTAGTCATTCAAACCTCTTCCTTTTCCTTTTCTTCATCATTTGCCATCTCTAAATTTCTAGAGCACTAATTAGAGTTTGGTATGTTTCAATTAAATGAGAACCTTCTAGCCTCTATATTCCTATATGTGGTAGAAAAATGGGTACGCCCATGATAACTTTTGGTAGATCAATGAATCTTTTTAACCGTGGATATTTATTAGATACAAAAGTTGAGGACGACAATTCACATTACATTGAACTGTGTCTAAAAATTATATCGCCTTTGCATGTTTTATAGCCAACTCATAGCTAAGCAGTTTTTATTGTAGAGCAAAACTTCAGGAATTGATCTAACTTGGATATGTAATTGAGTTTATGCATTTTAATGATTAAACTGATAAATATTTCGACCATATATGGATTTAATATCGTAGTATCTTTTAGCCTTTATATGCCACAAAAATTGTGGACAAAAATTCACAATACTTAGAACTATGGTTAAAAAGTATATCGATTTGCATGTTTTATAGTTGAACTCATAAGTAAGCAGTTTTATTGCTGACCAAAACTTTGGGAATTGATGTAACTTGAATGTATACTTGAGCATATGCATTTTAATGATTAAATTTATAAATATCTCAACCACATATGAATTTAATATCGTATTGTCTTTTTGCCTTTATATTGGTATCTGTGGCAAAAAATGGGTACCTCCATGAGAAAATTTTGTAGATCGATGAATATTTTCAATCTGGATATTTATTAGATACCAGAAATTATAAGTCTATTCGCGAAAGTCTAAGTCATGCCATGTACAATATTTGTCAAGACACATATTGAGGGAACTGTTATTAGCACTCCAAAAATCTCATTCTACACTCTGCACAAGTGTATTTTTCTTTTTAATTATAGAAAGTTTGGAGTGTCAAACAAGATTTTTGAAGTGCTAATAACAATTTTCTATATTTATATACATTTTTTTTTTTAGTTTGGAGTGCCAAACAAGATGAATTTCATTACCTCTGCATATGCAGTTGAGAAATTGAGAGTAGGACCATACTTGACAGCCGTGACAAATACGGCAGCAGCAACTTTCTCAGGAAATCTCTCCATGAAAATAGATATTACGTGACAAATACGATTCAGGATAACCTTTTCATTTGGTGGTAGAGACACCATGACCTTTGCCAAAGGCTCGACAAATTCCGATAACGAAGGGAGTTGTTGTACCTGAATCGGGTTGATCCCGGATGCTCCCAAGTCTAGAGATGTTACATTGTGACCTGAGTTCCTCAGAAGAGTCGCCACCTTATACCAACTCCATGCCCCATGACAGGCTCCATGTATCAACACAAAATGTTTTGGACTTTGAGTTTTGTTGTGAATGTTGGAGGGCGGGGACGGGGTTGAGGTACTTGCTTTTGCCAAGCAAATAAATTAATGAAAGGAAAAATAAAAGGCGCTTCTCTGTCATGTTCCTCAATTCCAATTTCTGTATCATTAACTCACAATTTCCTTGATTTGGTTTGCTTCTATCTTCTAACTTTTATATATAGAAATCCGTCTGAGAACTAATAATCGACTCAAGGGTAATGCTATGGAGAGCAAATAAGTAGACTAAATTTTGTAAACTAAATGATATGGAAGTTAATGATTGGATTATTACTTAAGTGTTGATTAATGTGTTTATTTCTTGTTGGTAACACATCATTTAGTTGCAAATTTAGTCTCTCTAGCATGTTCATCGACTCAAAAGTCAAAAGTCTTGAGTTGAAAAGTACTCCCAACTCCAATTTGCTAGAAACTAGTTTTCTAACTCATAGCCACATGGTAATGTTACCAAATTTTTAAACCAAAATTTGTAAACCAATTGATGTGGTTGTTGATTATTGAATTATTACTAAGTATTTATTAACATGTTTACTTCATATTGATGACACATTATTTAATTTGTAAATTTAGTTTGAAAATATATTAGTATACAAACGTCACTGCTGCCGCTCCATTATATAAATGGCGTTTATCTTGATCAAGCTAACTAAACTAGACGAAATCTAAGGATATATACATTTTGTGAATGATTAAAAATCTAATAAAACCAAAGAATATAATGTTTGAAAAGAATACTGCTAGAAACTTAGAGTTGGGGAATATTGTTAGATAATGCTACCAACATCCACTAAATTTGAAATATTTCTGTTACATTATGTTTGGATGAGAATAAATTGAGAATTTAGACAAAAGTTCAAATTTTATATTGGCATGAACCAATTTTCTTGTTTGGATTCATAAACATAGAAATTTAAAATTTTGGTGTGGATAAAAAACTTGGAATTTTGGGCCTCCAATTTTCAAAATTAAATTCCATGAAAATATAATGGGAAATTTTATTTGAACCCATATTTTGTATCACAACACCCAACTTACTTTTTATATCCACATTGTATTTGATTTATCTGTCATTATTTATTTACACCCAACATTATTTCTGAAACCGCCCTTACTTATCAAAACTCAACTAAATCAAATTTATTTTTACACCCAACTCAATCTACTTAAAAATAAAAAATAAAATCCTAACCAGTCCATCATCTCCATGGAGCAAATCCCCTTCTCTCTCTCTCTCTTTAAAAAACCCTTCCATCCCCCATGGTTGTCATTCTGCACCCCCATCTACTCCTCCATAGTCATCCAAACCTCTTCCTCTTCCTTTTCTTCATCAGTTGACGTCTCTAAATTTCTAGAGCACTAATTAGCTTAATAATCAGTATGAGCTTCTGGTTAAAGTGTTTAATGAGTTTGGTATGTTTCAATTAAATGAGAATCTTCTAGCCTCTATATTCCTATCTGTGGTAGAAAAATGGGTACGTCCATGATAACTTTTGGTAGATCAATGAATATTTTTAACCGTGGACATTTCTAAGATACAAAAGTTGCGGACAACAATTCACATTGCATTGAACTGTGGCTAAAAAGTATATCGCCTTTGCACATTTTATAGGCCAACTCATAGCTAAGCAATTTTTATTGTGGAGCAAAACTTTGGAAATTGATCTAACCTGGATGTGTAATTGAGTTTATGCATTTCAATGATTAAACTGATAAATATTTCGACCATATATGGATTTAATATTGTAGTATCTTTTAGCCTCTATATGCCACAAAAGTTGTGGACAAAAATTCACAATACTTAGAACTGTGGTTAAAAAGTATATCGCCTTTGCACGTTTTATAGGTGAACTCATAGGTAAGCAGTTTTATTGTTGACCAAAACTTCGAGCATTGATCTAACTTGAATGTATAATTGAGCTTATGCATTTTAATGATTAAATTCATAAATATCTCAACCACATATGAATTTAATATCGTATTATCTTTTAGCCTCTATATTGGTATCCATGGCAAAAAATGGGTACCTCCATGAGAAAATTTTGTAGATCGATGAATATTTTCAATCTAGATATTTATTCGATACCAGAAATTATAAGTCTATTCGCGAAAGTCTAAGTCAATGCCACGTACAATATTTGTTAAGACATATTTAGTGAACTATTATTAGCACTACAAAAATCTCATTCTACACTCCACACAAGTGTATTTTTCTTTCTAATTATAGAAAGTTTGGAGTGCCAAATGAGATTTTTGGAATGCTAATAACAATTTTCTATATTTTATACATTTTATTTTAGTTTGGAAGTCAACTTTCTTTCTTTATCAAGTTCGGGGTATCACTGACTGTGACCCTGTGCAAGTAGTTGTTGATTCGTTTTGAATAATCACCATTATTTCTTACAATGTCTTGGGCGTATGAATAACAAAAAGAAAACGGTCATGAAACAAGCTGAATAGTAGTAGTACTAATTACTAAACAACTTGTGCATGATGTTTGCTTATAACCAAGTGGCATGAAGGGACAAATTTGTAGGTTTCATGCATGACTTGGAATAGTATTAGTAAATGCATGATGTTTGCTTATAACCAAGTGACATAAAGGGACAAATGTGTATGTTTCATGCATGACTTGGAATAGTATTAGTCGTCGTGAGATTTTGCATCAATTTTTTGCTTTTAATATGTATATATTAAGTTCTATTTTAATGGGATTGCTCACCACCCCTAAGTTGTGATAATGCCTTTATTTATCGTTGTTATGTGAGTTTAATTAAATTTTGAGATTGTGTTATAAGAAAACATCATGCACAAGTTGTTTACTAATTAGTACTACTCTTATTCAGCTTGTATCATGATCGTTTTCTTTCTGGTATTCATACGCCCAAGACATTGTAAGAAATAATGTTGATTATTATCAACAACTAGTTGCATAGGATCGCAATCATTGATACTCCCAACTTGATAAAGAAAAAAAAAAAGAAAAAAAACAACAAAAAAAAAAGTTGACTTCCAAACTAAAATAAAATGTATATAAATATAGAAAATGTATATAAATATGGACACACACACACACATAATGAAGTTTCTAAGAGCATCTCCAGTAAGGGGCTTTATATGCGATTGAAAAGTGATGGATATAGCCCATTTTAGAGTGATGAGGAATCTATGTGGCTTTATAAAAGAATATCTCCCCATAAGGGGCTATTTACTTTCGGGCTTTATATGGGGCTATATATATTTATTTATGTTGTAGTTTAATTACGCGATAAAATAATTTTGTATTAACTTTTCTTAAGTTGATTTTTGGACCTGTTAGCTTAAAAAAAAAATTATGAACATTTCAACCTTCTGACAAAGTTAGATTTAATCACTTATGAGCCATTGGAGTAAATTATCATATCTCAATCTTATTCGTTGGTTTGCTTTTCTTAAATCAAACAAGATAAGATTTCATCTTATAACTAAATTGTAATGCTGTTGTTTGTTTATGTTTTTGTTTAGGTCTCTAAACTTCCAATGTCATTTTAATAAGTAGTGTGTTTATATTTGGAAATTAATAAAATTAAGCCTAGTAGAACTTCTTATATCATTTTATATCTTAAGAATTAAATATACAAATAAAATAGAGGAGGACCTTTGGAACAAAAAAATGTAAAGAAAAAGAGTTATAAAAAGAATAAAATGAGAGTATAAGTGCATTCTCAAGTGGGGGGAGAGTGGTAAAATTTGGCTCACATTGTTAGATACTTTTCTCTTGAGACCCACTGCTTTTTGGGCCTAGATGTAGCCTAATTTTTTTCTACCCAAGGAAAGAAATTGCTAGCCCAAGTGGTGGATCTAGACCTATTTTCCGCCTTATTAGGGATGAAATTTCTTACTAAGACTTCAAATATAGTAGGTTCATGGAGGATGAAGCCCCCATTGGGGATGCGCTAAGGGTATACAACTAGGTGCAGAGCTTTATGTACTGTTATTCGACAAAAATGATTAATATTGACTATTTTTGTTCGCGAGAGATTTTTCAGTATGACTGGAATAGGAGTGGTATACCACAACCATTATACAAGTGGTGAGATGTTGTGTTAAAAATTGAGCAACTTAAAAAATAACTTCCTTCTATTCATATAATAACACATGGTGTACTATCTCGTATTCCGAACACATTGAAAACCTCTCCTTCTTCACACATAGATTTGATGCGAGATTTATATATGTTCCGACTCTTCAAGTCTCATCCTCATGCACAGTTATGTGTGTATGATATATTCGACTTCTCAGCAATAACATTATACCTACTTATTCACTTTCAGCCACGCACCCGGCTGAAATTCAAAGAGGGGACGTAGATTTATTTGGATCTATGGACTCTGTTTTGACACATGCAGGCAATAAGTTTGCTGCTATTAAGGGGAAAAGGGGTTTAAATTACGAAAAGCCTTCCAGAATCTTATTATAGTTATTTAACAAGCTGAGATTACAGCAATGTCTAGGAGTTTTTACAAACATACAATCGTAACGCACATATTTGTAATGGAATGAAAAAAGTGTGAAACCAAAAATAGGTATGATAATACTGATTCTGTTTTCGCAACAGCACGAAGAAGAATTGAAAACTTGACTGAAAGTGTCTTCCAACAATATAAGGCTTGAAAATAGGAGCACAAATAATGAACTCCAATTTATCCGGCAACTATACAAGATTTTGTTTTCGCAGCAGTGTTTTGCAATATCTATTCACACCAAAATTTGTTTAATGCACTGTTTATTGCATTGAAAGCTACATTTCCGCATGCTTCCGACGATATATGATTGTCTGGGCAAAAAAGACAACACCAAATCAGTTTTGACGACCAAGGTAGAGGGTGAGTTCGGATAAGTCACACAATGGGTAACCTAATTTGATATGGAATTCGCTGTCTACGAGATTCGAACCTAAGACCTCTCACTTACAAGTGAAAAAGAATACTACCAAATCGTAGCACCCACCAAGATTTTGAATATAAATCTGAAAACCCTCTCTGATGCCACTTAATGTAGGACAAAGCCAAGGTCTCGAAGAGACGGGAGGTAAGAATTGGGGATTCACTTAACTAGGACAACGAAACTCGCTCATTGTTATTAATCGTTGATTAACTCATCATGACCAGAAGTCAAATACTTAATTTTAGAAGGATGAAGCACTGTATATTTGGATTAATTTTTTTTAAATTAACTAATTGACTGTATTTTGAGTTCATATAGAGCAGCCTTTTAAATAGAGATGGGATAGAGAGTTAATAGTAGGGGATAGTTGCTAGGCAACCCAAAAAATAAAGGGAGTATTTTCGCTTACCACCATAAACTATGATGTATGCTCATCACCATATTTATCACCATTAAATGAGTTTGAATTTTAAGATTTGTGATTTCGAGATTCGTGTAGTGGATAGGCACAAATCTCAATATTCAAACACATCTAACAGTGATAAATAGGGTGGTGAACATTACTACCACTTGAGGATGGTGAGCAAAAATGCACTCATAAATAAAAAATAAAAACATAACTTTTAAGTCATTTACTACTACAGTCTAGTGGTGTTCCAAGCTGTGCTTATAAGTGAGAGGTCTTAGGTTCGATTCTCGACGAAAGTGAATTTGAACCACATTATTGCTAGCCTATTGTGAGACTTAATCCACTTCTCCACCCCCTTAATATTAATAATATCATTTATTAAAAAAAATAACTTTGAACCAAGCTAAACTAAGTGACCATCCCTTAATATTAATAATATCATTTATTAAAAAAAAAAAACATAACTTTGAACCAAGCTAAACTAAATGACCATGTTTATAGTAGTGCGTCATGCCTCTTGAACCAAAGTTCATGGACACGTAATTATTAGTAATTAAAACAATCTCATTTATTCATTTACATTTTGTACTATGGTGCATGCAACGCAGGCTAGCTAGTTAGTATGCCTGAATTAATCATGTCCGTCCATATATTTATGAATACTTCTCAGCAATACTTTGGAGGTGGCAGAACAGCTCCACTGGTTTAGAGAACATGACCATATGATCAGAACCGTTTATCACTTTCACTTCATTTGGGGGATTGTTCTTGATCATGTAATTTTGCACATCCAACATTAGCGTACGGTCTTGGTTGGCCACGATGAATACTCTAGGAACTGATCCATACTTCTTCTTTGTGAGTTTTATTACATCATAATTATATAAAGGAAAATATCTCACCAACGATAGTGCTAGAGTTAAATCCTGTCCATTACAAGCATAAAACAAAAAAAGTATTAGCTAACCAATATTGGAAAGCCCCAACTTATATTTTAGAACTATTAGCGCTCTACTCTTACACTACACCTTATCTTTCTAGTGTGTGTTAAGAGAACACGATAAGGTTCCTATATATGGCAATAGACACACTTTAAGACTTACCTGTGGTGGTGAGAGCTGGTACACGCTTATCGCCAAGGCTTTAGGCCCAACGAGAAAGGAGGTTGCAGGGTTGTTGGTTCCGTTATCATATCTGAATTGAGAGTCCATAGCATCATATCCTTTTGTAACCTATACAATTTTTTGGAAAATTACTTTTTAAATAATTACCCTTAAGTAGGATTCCGAAAACAATGAACGAGAGTTCATGTTAAATTGTTACCTATGACAGATATTTTTAAAAAAAATGCCATATTTATTTATCGCATTTCTTGATTCACCAAATGAGGTTAGTATGATATATGATCAATAAATGAGTTAAACAGTAAAACCTCCATAAATGAATAATGTTGGGAAAAAAAACTTATTATTTTAAAGAAGTTATTCGATAAATGAATAATTTATAACTTTCAAGATAATTTAAGAACAAGACAATCAAGTATTATAAAAATTAATTTCCTAAAAAATAAAGTACTTCTATGTTTTATGTACATGCAACATAATCTCTTTAGACTCCTTACAATTATCACAACTTGTTCATCTACGACATGTCATTTGAAAGGAATTAAAAAATCTACATTGACTGATGAGATAAGCAGAGTATTGTGCGAGTATAAAAATGAGCATATCTCTTCTAGTTCAAAGACTTGGAAACAATGCGTTCAACAAAAGTATCAGTTGATTTCTATCAAGCACCAACATTATCAAACGCTTTTAGAAGGCCAACATAGTATTTGTCGGATGAGATGAAAAATAATAATGTCAAGAGGCACAAACTAGCAAAATATTTCGAGTTAGAAAAAATATTGTATGTATCAATGGTTTCTCTAATATCAAGTGAATATGACTAGAGAAATGATCCTAAGGTTTCTCTAATATCAAGTGAATATGACTAGAGAAATGATCCTAAGTATGCATTATGAATTTTATGTGTTATTTCTTTATGTATTTTATAAATTATTAATTTATATATTCATTGGGCCTTCAAGAATTTTAAGAAAAATGATTATCTTATGCATTTAGCAAGGTAATCTTAGTAATCTGACCCGAGTTGGGATTGGAAAATTTTATTATTTAACTGAGGTTATTATTTTATCGAACATTGACGTATCGAGGTTTTACGATATATAGCGGAACGTTTAGACTTTTAGTATATATGAAGTTCATTACCTCTGCATATATAGTTGAGAAATTGAGAGTTGGACCATACATAAAAGCCGTGACATATACTGCAGCAACAATTTTATGAGGGAACCTCTCCATGATAATAGATATGACTGCGCCCCCCATGCTGTGACCCACAAGGATAACCTTTTCATTTGGTGGTAGAGACACCATGAACTTTGTTAAGGGCTCGACGAATTCCGACAACGAAGGGAGCTGCTGTACCTGAATCGGGTTGATCCCGGATGCTCCCAAGTCTAGAGCTGTGACATTGTGACCTGAGTCCTTGAGGAGAGTTGCCACCTTATACCAGCTCCATGCTCCATGACAAGCTCCATGTATCAATACAAAATGTTTTGGACTTTGAGTTTGGTTGTGAATGTTGGAGGGCGGGGATGGGGTTGAGGTACTAGCTTTTGCCAAGCAAATAAATAAAAGAAAAAACAAAAGGAGCTTCTCTGTCATGTTCTCCAATAATATTTTCTCTATCATGAACTCTCAATTTCCTTGATAGGGTTTGCCTCTCTCGTCTTACTTTTATTTATAGAAATCGATCAGAGAACTAATACTTGGGTCGAAAGTCAAAAGTCTTGACATGAGCCATGACATTTATAGCATTCCCAACTCCAATTTGCTAGAAAAGTAGTTTCCTAACTCAGAGCCATTGTCAAGGAGAAATGCTAACAAAACTCTTTTAGAAGTGGGATTCTCTTTGGATTCCTATCGCCTTATGTTTTTTGCACAATATTTATAGTATTGTCACAGAAATTGATTTTAAACTGTGAAGTGACAAATAATCCATAAAAAGTCCGCTTTTGAGAGAGTCTCCTTAGCATTTCTCTTGATCAAGAACCAAATGGCACCTTATGTGAAATGATGAGTAAGATTTGTTTAAGATATGCGTCGCGATTTAATGCTAATTATATTAATATTGTCCTCACTTAATTACTCGTGTAATTGTATGGAGGCCCTCTACAAAAGTCATTGATCCAATTAAAAGTTAAAGTAATATAAGTTCTAATTTGTGTTGTTTGATCGGTGGTGTGAGAGTTTTCACGTAATTCAACATGGTTTAATGGTCTGTAACTTTTTCTGTACTGCTACTACTAATATCATTTCACGCAGCAACATTGGACTCTTCAGTTGTCAAATGCTGCAAGGCACCCCATGTCATTGTTAGCAACGATATTTCACGTTTAAGCAAATATATAAGCCACGTTCCAAATTAAATATGGACTTTAGAACATGTGGCCTAACATATATCTCTTGAAATCCAATAATTTAAGTGCAATTTTTTTTTAAATGAAAGGATGATTAGACAAGTCGAGCTACGCATAAAGCTTGATCGTTAGTAGAAACCTTAAGAATCAAACCCCAGGATTAGCCGTCAACTACAAGTAGGCTACTTCCTTCCCGCTCAGAGTGATGAGAAAAGGCTAACTCCCTGATAGAACGACCCCCCCCCCCCCCCGCGGGTCCCCTATCTCTGAATTTATTAAATAAAGAAAAGTAAAAATAAAAAAAATACAAGCGGAGGGATGGAGCCAAAACACGCTTGGAGAAAAACAAAGAAACATCAACAAAAACAAACAACAAGATGAAACTCAAAGTCACGAGCATGGTGGCAGGTGCAAAATCTACCAGCATGAACCGCTCAATGAAAGTTAATACTTTTGCAAGCATCAATGACCAAACTACCAAAACCTAAAATTAGGCCGTGAAGAAAGGTTATGAATGTAAGCAGAAGTTGCACAAGGAGGACAAGAGTCTCAATATAAACCCCCAGAATGATCCACACCGAAATTAGCCAAACAATCGGCAACTGCAATACTGTCTCGAAAAATATGAGTGACACGAACGTGCATACAAGAGAGAAGAGCAAGGCAATTAATCCAATGAACACGTAGACGCCAAGGAATCTTGCAAGAAGTAGAAGAAAGAAAAAGGACCCACTAAGGAAGAATCATGATCCACGAATAATTCCAACCGTTTACCCAAGCCAAATCCATGGCATGAATAACCACATGCAACTCTACTTCTAAAGAATAAGCAATTCCAATGGAAGCTGCAAAACAACCTAAACAACTGCCAAAATGATCTTGAAAAATACCCCCAAAACCCGCTAAACCAGGAGCACCACGAGTCGCACCATCAATGTTAACTTTAATCAAAGAAATAGGAGGTGGCAGCCATAGAACCTCATGAATACGAGGAGCTTTGGCTAGACAACCTTTAGCTCCAATGGCACGAAGAATACAAAGATCAGACATAGAGTTTTGCATGGTACTAGTGCTCAAAGAATGAATCTCAGTCAGCTGCAACTTAATATCACGAACAATAGTGGAAACATGAAGAGATAATTCCTCAAAACGCAATGAATTGCGGGCCGCCCAAATAGAATAACAACTCGCGCCAATCATCCCCCACCACAAAACTTGAACTTGAGAGCCAAAACCATGTTCAAGAGGATAGGAAAAAAAACTTAAAATGTCAAAAAAAACTATGTCCACCTTAAACCAACGCAAACATGAAGACCAAATTTGGCAAGAGTAATTACAACTGAAAAAGAGGTGAGAGAATAATTACAACCGAAAAAGATGTGAGAAGGTGTCTCAATTGCCGAGCTATAATGAGCATATAGACGCCAAAGAAAATCCTCAATCTTGCAAAAGAATATCGGTGACAAGCTTACCATGCATATACTTTCATAAAATAATTGAATTACGAGGACAGTAGCAAGAATGCCAAACCCAATTGAATTATGAGGACGGTAGCAAGAACACCAAACCCAATTACCCAAGTAACCAGAGGTTGTTTACTTCTTTTAAAATCATAAGCCTGAGTAAGTGTTAAATGACCATTAGTAGCATCATTCCAAACCAATAAGTCATCCACTCCAGGATCCATAGGCAAAGTAATAGAGAGCAATTTATTCCATATTGAGTGCATCTGATCATTGAGGAAAGCAGGTTGACACCAGTGGCCATTATATATAAAATCAGAAACTTTAGATTTCAATAACTTTCGCATAGGCATGGGAATATCCAAAGCATCCGCAATGGGCACAGTTAACCAAACTGCATTCCAAAAAGAAACTTTGTGACCGGTACCAATAATCCAATGAGATCTAGAGCTAATATCTCTAAAAAGAGGTCACAACCCAGGCCATAAGGAGGAACATTTATAATACAAACAAGGCAGTCCCAAACAATTAATAAAGCGGCCTCGAAAAAAAATTGCAGCTATAGAGGAGGTGGTCAAAATGTCCCAAAACTTATTAAGAAGAAAATATTTGTTTAAAGAAGCAAAATTACGAATACAAAGACCCTTTTCACTATAAGGAACACAACACTTTTTCCAAGAGACAGTCGAAAACCCTCGTGAATCTGCGGAACCAGTCCAAATAAAATTACAAGCCCAAGAACATACTTGACCTAGAATAGAAGCAGGCCATGAATAAATTGAAAAACTATGAGATAACATACTGACTACCACAGATTTAACCAGTGTGAGGCGACCCGCCATAGATAGAAAGTGACCATTCCAATGTGACATACGTTGCCGACCTTATCAGTTAGAGGCTGGAAAAAAGAATGTTTGGGTCTTCAACGAAAAAGATGAACACCTAAATAAGTGAAAGGCAACTCACCACGAGAAATCCCCAACCAAGAAACAATTACAGAACGACGTGGCAGAGCATATTTTCTGATGTAAACACGAGACTTTGGCTTGCTAATAAATTGACCAAAGTTAACACCGTACTTATCCATGAAAGCCATGAGGTTTTGTAAACTTCTCTTATCACCTCTACAAAACACAAGGATATCATCAGCAAAAAGAACATGTGATGGAGCCACTACCCCGTGAGGAAAGGAAATAGAATTAGTATGGCCTGAAATTACGAAGTTCAAGGATTCCTCTACTAAAAACCTCTTCAGCAAGACAAAAAAGAAGAGCAGAAAACGGATCCCCCTGATGAACCCTCGTGAACAACCAAAAAAGCCAATTGGAGATCCATTAAAAATAATAGACAAACGTGCTGAGGCAAGAATAGCATCAATCCACTTGAAAAACGTTGCATGAAACCTAAAAGTTGATAGAACATTTGTTAGAAAACTCCAGCTTAACGTATCAAAGGCCTTAGCCACATCAAATTTAGTGGCCACATTCCCACCATAATTCCTATTATCAAGCAAATTAATACCTTCTGAAGCTAATAAGATACAATCTGAAATATTCCTGTCTTTGAGAAAAGTAAACTGGTTTGGCATAATAATTCGGGCAGCAATAGGAGCAAGACAACTAGCAAGTATCTTGGTAATAATTTTAAAAGAAAAATTAGCCAAAGCAATTGGACGGAACTGGGAGATAATATTAGCCTCTGGTGATTTCGAAATCAAAGCCACAAAATTAGAATTGAGATCAGGGAAAATATAACCAGACAGAAAAAAAACGAGTGAACTGCTCTCACAACATCAACACCAACAAAATCCCAAGCGGCACGAAAAAAATGCCCACCAAAACCATCCGCACCAGGAGCACTATTAATTAGGATCCATAGAAAATGCTATGGAACGAACTTCATCAAAGGTAAGGACAGCTAGTAATGAATTATTTTCATAGGCAGAAACCATAGGAGAAATCAACCTTGAAACCATTCCTATATTAGTAGTGGAGCCATCATTAAAGAAAGTAGTAGAAAAATGATCGACAACATGAGATCGCAAAGAATCAACATTTTCCACCAAGTTCGAACCAATTTGCAAAGAGGAAATAAAATTACGATGGCGATGAATTTTAGCAATCTTATGAAAGTAACTTGTATTTCGATCCCCATCTTGTAACCATTTTAAACGAGCCTTATCACTCTAAAATTTTTCCTGAACAATTAAAGCATAAGAGAGATGAGAATGCGCTCGAAACTTAGCCTCATGCAGAATCTCAGAAAACCCTAAAGTAGAAATCTCAAGCTGAATAGATTCTAATGCATTGGCATTCCGAGCAGAGTTGACTGCTAACACACCCCAACCGAAATCAAGGCGGGGTGTGTCAACTGCGGTGTTAACATTACCAAAAACATTAGAATTCCAAGCTTTGAGAAGAGGCTTCAATAATTTAAGCTTTGATTGCAAAACATACATTGGACACCCAAAAACCTGGAAAGAACCCCAAGCCTCCTTTACAAAATTGATAAAATCCGGGTGGTCCAACCAAATACGCTGAAACCGAAAAGGTGTGGGAAATTGTGCAACATACTGTTGAAAAGAGACTAAAAGTGGATTATGGTCCGAAGAATGACGTGCAAGAGTTGAGCAATTAGTAACTGGCCAGGTGTCATACCAAGAGGAAGAACAAAAACAATGACCAAGAAGCATTTCAATGTGCGAAGAAATACCATGATCATTTGTCCATGTAAAAGGGGAGCCTTTGGTGTCAACCGGTAAAAGACCACACATATCAGCCATTGCCTGAAATTCCTCGCAAGAAGAATGTCGTGGTAGAATGTTACCAATTTTTTTCATGCACACATAAGACAGCATTAC